GAGGGGTAAAGGCTGCTGGAGCTGAGATGGGAGGGGTAAAGGCTGCTGGAGCTGAGATGGGACGGGTAAAGGTTGCTGGACCTAAGATTGGGATAGGTAAAGGCTGCTGGAGCTGAGATGGGACGGGTAAAGGCTGCTGGAGCTGAGATGGGATGGGTAAAGGCTGCTGGAGTTGAGATGGGACGGGTAAAGGTTGCTGGACCTAAGATTGGGATAGGTAAAGGCTGCTGGAGCTGAGATGGGACGGGTAAAGGCTGCTGGAGCTGAGATGGGATGGGTAAAGGCTGCTGGAGCTGAGATGGGATGGGTAAAGGCTGCTGGAGCTGAGATGGGACGGGTAAAGGCTGCTGGAGCTGAGATGGGACGGGTAAAGGTTGCTGGACCTAAGATTGGGATAGGTAAAGGCTGCTGGAGCTGAGATGGGACGGGTAAAGGCTGCTGGAGCTGAGATGGGATGGATAAAGGCTGCTGGAGCTGAGATGGGATGGGTAAAGGTTGCTGGACCTAAGATTGGGATAGGTAAAGGCTGCTGGACCTGAGATGGGATGGGTAAAGGCTGCTGGAGCTGAGATGGGACGGGTAAAGGCTGCTGGAGCTGAGATGGGATGAATAAAGGCTGCTGGAGCTGAGATGGGATGGGTAAAGGCTGCTGGAGCTGAGATGGGATGGGTAAAGGCTGCTGGAGCTGAGATGGGATGGGTAAAAGCTGCTGGAGCTGAGATGGGATGGGTAAAGGCTGCTGGAGCTGAGATGGGATGAGTGAAGGCTGCTGGAGCTGAGATGGGATGGGTAAAGGCTGCTGGAGCTGAGATGGGATGGATAAAGGCTGCTGGAGCTGAGATGGGATGGATAAAGGTTGCTGGACCTAAGATTGGGATAGGTAAAGGCTGCTGGAGCTGAGATGGGATGAGTGAAGGCTGTTGGAGCTGAGATTGGATGAGTGAAGGCTGCTGGAGCTGGGATGGGCAAAGGCTGCTGGAGCTGAGATTAGGTTTAGTAAAGGCTGCTGGAGCTGAGATTAGATTTAGTAAAGGCTGCTGGAGCTGAGATTGGGTTTAGTAAAGGCTGCTTGAGCTGAGATGGGATGAGTAAAGACTGCTGGAGCTGAGATGGGATGGGTAAAGGCTGCTGGAGCTGAGATGGGATGGGTAAAGGCTGCTTAGGCTGAGATGGGATGGGTAAAGGCTGCTTAGGCTGAGATAGGATGGGTAAAAGCTGCTTGAGCTGAGATGGGATGGGTAAAGGCTGCTGGAGCTGAGATGGGATGGGTAAAGGCTGCTGGAGCTGAGATGGGACGGGTAAAGGCTGCTGGAGCTGAGATGGGATGGGTAAAGGCTGCTGGACCTAAGATTGGGATAGGTAAAGGCTGCTGGAGCTGAGATGGGACGGGTAAAGGCTGCTGGAGCTGAGATGGGATGGATAAAGGCTGCTGGAGCTGAGATGGGATGGGTAAAGGTTGCTGGAGCTGAGATGGGATGGGTAAAGGCTGCTGGAGCTGAGATGGGACGGGTAAAGGCTGCTGGAGCTGAGATGGGACGGGTAAAGGTTGCTGGACCTAAGATTGGGATAGGTAAAGGCTGCTGGAGCTGAGATGGGACGGGTAAAGGCTGCTGGAGCTGAGATGGGATGGATAAAGGCTGCTGGAGCTGAGATGGGATGGGTAAAGGTTGCTGGAGCTGAGATGGGATGGGTAAAGGCTGCTGGAGCTGAGATGGGATGGGTAAAGGCTGCTGGACCTGAGATGGGATGGGTAAAGGCTGCTGGAGCTGAGATGGGATGGTAAAGGCTGCTGGAGCTGAGATGGGACGGGTAAAGGCTGCTGGAGCTGAGATGGGATGAATAAAGGCTGCTGGAGCTGAGATGGGATGGGTAAAGGCTGCTGGACCTAAGATTGGGATAGGTAAAGGCTGCTGGAGCTGAGATTGGGTTTAGTAAAGGCTGCTTGAGCTGAGATGGGATGAGTAAAGACTGCTGGAGCTGAGATGGGATGGGTAAAGGCTGCTGGAGCTGAGATGGGATGAGTAAAGGCTGCTGGAGCTGAGATGGGATGGGTAAAGGCTGCTTAGGCTGAGATGGGATGGGTAAAGGCTGCTTAGGCTGAGATGGGATGGGTAAATGCTGCTGGAGCTGAGATGGGATGGGTAAAGACTGCTGGAGCTGAGATGGGATGGGTAAATGCTGCTGGAGCTGAGGTGGGATGAGTAAAGGCTGTTGGAGCTGAGATTGGGATAGGTAAAGGCTGCTGGAGCTGAGATGGGATGGGTAAAGGCTGCTGGAGCTGAGATGGGATGGGTAAAGGCTGCTTAGGCTGAGATGGGATGGGTAAAGGCTGCTTAGGCTGAGATGGGATGGGTAAAGGCTGCTGGAGCTGAGATGGGATGGGTAAAGGCTGCTGGAGCTGAGATGGGATGGGTAAAGGCTGCTGGAGCTGAGATAGGATGGGTTAAGGCTGCTGGAGCTGAGATGGGATGGGTAAAAGCTGCTTGAGCTGAGATGGGCAAAGGCTGCTGAAGCTGAGATTAGGTTTAGTAAAGGCTGCTGGAGCTGAGATTAGATTTAGTAAAGGCTGCTGGAGCTGAGATTGGGTTTAGTAAAGGCTGCTTGAGCTGAGATTGGGTTTAGTAAAGGCTGCTTGAGCTGAGATGGGATGGGTAAAGGCTGCTTAGGCTGAGATGGGATGGGTAAATGCTGCTGGAGCTGAGATTGGGATGGGTAAAGGCTGCTTAGGCTGAGATGGGATGGGTAAATGCTGCTGGAGCTGAGATTGGGATGGGTAAAGGCTGCTTAGGCTGAGATGGGATGGGTAAATGCTGCTGGAGCTGAGATGGGATGGGTAAAGGCTGCTTAGGCTGAGATGGGACGGGTAAAGGCTGCTTAGGCTGAGATGGGACGGGTAAAGGCTGCTTAGGCTGAGATGGGATGGGTAAAGGCTGCTGGAGCTGAGATGGGATGGGTAAAGGCTGCTGGAGCTGAGATGGGATGGGTAAAGGCTGCTTAGGCTGAGATGGGATGGGTAAATGCTGCTGGAGCTGAGATGGGATGGGTAAAGGCTGCTGGAGCTGAGATGGTATGGGTAAAGGCTGCTTAGGCTGAGATGGGACGGGTAAAGGCTGCTGGAGCTGAGATGGGATGGGTAAAGGCTGCTTAGGCTGAGATGGGACGGGTAAAGGCTGCTTAGGCTGAGATGGGACGGGTAAAGGCTGCTTAGGCTGAGATGGGATGGGTAAATGCTGCTGGAGCTGAGATGGGATGGGTAAAGGCTGCTTAGGCTGAGATGGGATGGGTAAATGCTGCTGGAGCTGAGATGGGATGGGTAAATGCTGCTGGAGCTGAGATGGGATGGGTAAAGGCTGCTGGGGCTGAGATGGGATGGGTAAAGGCTGCTGGAGCTAAGATTGGGATAGGTATAGGCTGCTGGACCTGAGATTGGATGGGTAAAGGCTGCTTAGGCTGAGATGGGATGAGTGAAGGCTGCTGGAGCTGGGATGGGCAAAGGCTGATGAAGCTGAGATTAGGTTTAGTAAAGGCTGCTGGAGCTGAGATTAGATTTAGTAAAGGCTGCCGGAGCTGAGATTGGGTTGAGTAAAGGCTGCTTGAGCTGAGATTGGGTTTAGTAAAGGCTGCTGGAGCTGAGATTGGATGAGTGAAGGCTGCTGGAGCTGGGATGGGCAAAGGCTGCTGAAGCTGAGATTAGGTTTAGTAAAGGCTGCTGGAGCTGAGATTAGATTTAGTAAAGGCTGCTGGAGCTGAGATTGGGTTTAGTAAAGGCTGCTTGAGCTGAGATTGGGTTTAGTAAAGGCTGCTTGAGCTGAGATGGGATGGGTAAAGGCTGCTGGAGCTGAGATGGGATGGGTAAAGACTGCTGGAGCTGAGATAGGTGGGTAAAGGCTGCTGGAGCTGAGATGGGATGGGTAAAGGCTGCTGGAGCTGAGATGGGATGGGTAAAGGCTGCTTAGGCTGAGATGGGATGGGTAAATGCTGCTGGAGCTGAGATTGGGATGGGTAAATGCTGCTGGAGCTGAGATTGGGATGGGTAAAGGCTGCTGGAGCTGAGATGGGATGGGTAAATGCTGCTGGAGCTGAGATGGGATGGGTAAAGGCTGCTGGAGCTGAGATGGGATGGGTAAATGCTGCTGGAGCTGAGATTGGGATGTGGCATGTTTTCATTTTGTGTTCAACATTTTGGACCCCATGCACCTCGCTCAGATACAAAGGAAATAGTTTTTGGCTACTTTGGTGAATTTCTTCACATCAACCAATCAGTTTAGTTTTTTTTATAGCAGGCTCAACTCCCTCGCAAAAGAAACAGCAGTTTTGGATGTTAGTATGTCTTTTTTAATATAACTAAATTTAGTTAAAGTGATTTTAAAGGTCAAACTTGACATCAATGAAATGGTTTTATCGCAAACACCACAACTTGACATTGCTCCTCGTGAAGGTCAGGGATGGAATTGGTTTTCAGCAACCCATGATAGTAGGAAGCAGCAACTAACACTGACTTGGTTGATTGCATAAATCAATGTTCGTGTGAATCACTGGATTGTCTGGACTCAGTTATATACCATCTTTACAGACCGCTATCATTTTGCTGGAATATTGCTGAGTGTGGCATTAAACAACTAGCAATCAAAAACAAACTATCAAAAGGTTGATGCAAATACAGCCTGGCATCATGTTTACTTCCTGACACAGTTGCACACAGGCTGGACACCTCTCTAGGACAGAGGAGAACCTGCACAATCAGCACAATTGGTGTCCGGTTGAATGTTCAGACAGCTGTAGACAGCATGTACAGCAAAAAAAGGAACATTAAAAAACATTCAGCACAGAATAGGAAAAGGGGTGAGATAAGATTACACGGTGGTGTTTGTTGAATGGATAAGTCATCAGAGGTCCTTGTGCTGCTATTATCAGTTGCTGGGGAAATAGTGTTGAGGTTCAGTAATGTGTTTTCTATAGTGTGAGGCTGCATGTTTCACAGATGTTGCATGATGTTGCAGGCACTACCGGCGAGTGATTCTGAAGGGGCTCAACAAAGACTTGAAGGACGAGCTGAGATATGTGTCGGAGGTGATCGAAGACAACCCCAAGAACTATCAAGTGTGGTGAGGATTGGTGGAAAAATACTTACTTGTGTGCAGATTTATGTAGTGTTTGTAGGATGATGAGTTGTTTTGGTCTTTGAAGAAACATGTGGAAGCATGCAATGTACACATTAATGATTACACATGACACTTTATATGGTAGGACCACAATTTATCATCAATTTATCAACTGACTTCCACAGGAGATAACGTTTGATCTTACCCAATCAATATTGAATCCAGTGCTTTGCAGACCATTGTGATGTCATCAGTTATCATGACATAACAATCAAATGACATCACCATTGAAGGTGGTTACCTGTGTTTTTTACACTCGAGACACTATCATCACTGTAAAGATGGTTCACATTTCACGATCAGTCGTAACAATCACATTGTGAACGAAAAATTTAGTTGACTGACAAATTTTGTCCTATCCTTCAGCTTTCAACTTGTAGAGGCGGTGGGGAAGCCTAGTGGTTAAAGCGTTAGCTCATCACACTGAAGGCCCGGGTTCAGTTCCTCACATGGGTACAATGTGTGAAGCCCATCTCTGGTGTCAACTGAACCATACTCCCTGACTCATTTCAAATTGTAAAACGTGACATTACTACAGATTTGATTAATAAATATGATGGATAATTCACCCAGTTGTATTGAATGTATGTTAAAGTGTTCAAATAATTTAATTTAGGCACCACCGCCGGGTGTTGATTGAGTGGTCCCGAGACTCGGGTCAGGAACTTCACTTCACGGAGAAGATCTTGAGGGAAGACGCCAAGAACTACCACGCTTGGCAGCACAGGTATGTTGGCAGCAGGGGGGACACTTCCAGACAAGTTAAACCATAAACTCGGGGAAGCATTGTTCCAGTGTCTGACTGCTTCAGCCTAGAGAGATCAATAACCACACTCTGTATACATGATACATACTCACAGACAAAAGAAAAGCCATTACCATACTTGTTGGTTGATATCACTGACAGAAACTAACATGTTTAGTCCATTAGTCCTTATGATGATAACATATAGCTAAACCCTTAAAGTTAAACATGGAAAATTTCTAATGATCCTTATGATGGCAAGGGCTAGGTCCTATTTCTAATGTGTAATATATGTAGTTGCTCAAATTCAAGAGAGATTAGATTGGGTCGATGCACAAACAAACAAACTCGTGTTGCGTGAACCGACGCTCATGAACGCCTCACATGTGATGTCATAGATCCATGACTCGAGATGCACCGTTTGTCGCGTGCAGGATTAGCGTGTCAAGTTTGGAAATCACGTACAGCATATCATGATAAAAATCAAGACACCGTGGTAACACTTGACTGACTGTTAGTTTTGTCATCAAGTGGTACACATTGGAAACATCTCTTCTTATGTTTCTATGGTTCGCGTTACTTTTGGCGGCAGGTATAGGGAAGATCAATGACAATGAGACATAAAAAGTTCTACTGTGCACAAAACTAACTGTGTCCATACTGTAGACCAGTCACAGGTGTTAAGGGGGGCACGGGTGACCCAGTCATCTAAGGCACCGCAATTCGCTGTGCAGAGTGGCGCCCCTTGGGTACGCCAGAAACCTATGATTGTGGGTTCGAATCCCGGTTCGCCCCGATTATGTTTCTAGGTTTATCAGCACCATACCCGTGCTCGTGGGTTTCACCGAAGTGGTAAACTTTGGGCTTTCCTCCCACATTAAGCTGACACGCCGTGACATAACTAGAATACTGTTAACAGCAGCGTTAAACCCTACTCACTCACTCACTCACTCACTCACTCACTCACTCACTCACTCTTGATAAGTCCACTTCAGGCCGACACTGACACTAGGCGATGATAGGAAGAACTGGATAGGATTATCTAAAGATACTGATATTCATGGAATTTTGAAATGTTATCTTCTTCTCTTGCTATCTCTTTCCTTGTGGGCGTGGCCTCAATGTTTTCCTTGTGTTGTTTGTCGTTTATAAACCGAAAACAGGAACTAAATGCTGCTGTAGTCGGTTTCTTTAACTGATATTGTTGGTATCATTTTGATTCCTCAGATCATTAACATGGACTCTGATTGTGGAGTACTGTAATTCCTTGTGTATAACACATACTTCCAAGAAATACAGGCATTTATTTCCCATTGGGATAGAAATAACCGAGTTCATAAAAATCATATGTGACTTATGTGCACTAGTGCAAATATCATATCTCGCGCACCAGTGTATTGTTTCAGTCATCCGAACAGCATTGTCGATGCCATTTGAATTTTATTGTGATGTAAGTCGGAATGATGTCATTCTAGAAATGGCGTAGCTGAAAATTGGTGATGTCATTCGACAAATTGTGGTTTTCTAGGACAGTGGTAGCTATCAGTGCATTTTTCTAAAGGGAAGCTCAAAAGGATTAAGAAATAATGGGTAATAAAGAAATTGTGTGTAATACTGATTTTACAAAACTTGTGTAAGAACTCACGTATTACCCTCACTCTCGCTCAGGAAATACAAGAAATCTGACACTTATGACACACATGCTCGTATAATGTGTGTAGTGCATATCAAACATGAACACATAACTCCTTGCATATAACACTGGAAATAGCATGGTAAGCAAGCAGTAGTGATTTTAAACTATTTGGTAATAAGAACATTTTAGAGTATTTCTGTCTTTTTGTTTTTGATCCGTTTTATCATGTTATTTAAAAAAAAATAATTAAATATCGCGTATATTAATTTCCGGGAAATTGTTTGTGAACTGATCGGCAGATCCCACAAACTGATTGTCATCTGCAGCGACCCCACTCAGGTGATTGTTATTATTACCTTGATGTGAACCTGAGTTGCCAGATAATTATTACATATTATGAATGAAATAACTTAACAGAAAATAGGTCATAGCTGTTGTTATTTGATTATTGAAAGTCACTATTTTACCGTCCAATTAGCAACGCTGCAGGCTAGTTTAAAGTTAAGTGACTTCTGATTGGTTCGTCTCACGTTGTCACTCATAAGACTGTTCCATATGCTTAAACTAACTGGTTCTAGACTGAAGATTATTTTTTAAATTTTTGATATGTATATATTAAAAGCAACTAAAATAACTTAAAGTGTGAATATTTCTTCATGGTGCGATAATAATCTCAGATTTAGTTTCTTCCGATCATTACGGCCAGGGTCTCTTGAGATATAATTATGGGTATATTTACTTGAATCACCAGTAGACACAACAGCTGACTGCTATTTCTGGGTGTACACAAAATCATGCATGTTAATATTAACTTCTGCATATAGAAAAAGCCTTGCATAAGACGAAATACAAATGCAATTATGTAATCTTTCATTGCCAAATTTACTTAAATTGAAATTGAAATTTTTGAAGTTTCTAATGTCCTGATGACTCAAGTCAAGCCTCAGCTGACTGCTGAAGTAAAACAAAGACTGCACTTTGAAAACTAGATAGCATTCTTACCAGAAACTTATCCTAGACAATAGCTACCAGTCTGTTCCAGTTTAATAGAATGGTCAATTCAATTAAGTGTTACCACAGTGTCTTTATTCTTATCATGATATACTGTATGTGATTTCAAAACTTTACACAAGCTAATCCTGCACAAGACAAATGGTGCTTTACACCGGTAGAAACTACCATTTTCAGTCCACTAGTCCTTATAAGAACATTTTGCAAAACCCTTAATAATGCCAAATTACTACTAGTCCTTGTAATATATTAACTATTGGGGCAGTTTGGCATGGACAACAGGACTAGTGCCAATTTCTAACACTGATGCATCTCAAGTCATGGATCTATGATGTCGCATGTGATGCGTTCATGAACATTGGTTCACACAACATACCAGTATGTTCGTCTGTGCACTGAATCAATCTACTATCCCTTGAATATAAGTAATTCGTCACTTATAAATCAACATGTATGGTTTTCGCGGGTTTTTTTGGCTGTTATACATTATGTGTACAACTGATTACTTTTTCTGCCTTATATTGAGGACATTATACACACTATATTCCTCATCTTTGATGGCTGATACAACAGACTGGAGTTTTTTTATTGTTCCATGCATCGATATTTTGTGGTTTGGTGATCATTATGTGGATGTGTATTTCAGGCAGTGGGTGATTCAGGAATTTGGCCTCTGGGACAAGGAGCTGGACTATGTGGACAAGCTGTTGAAGGACGACCTCCGCAACAACTCCGCCTGGAACCAGCGCTACTTCGTCATCAAGAACACCACCGGCTTCACCGACACCGTCACAGAGAAGGAAGTCGGGTAGGGGCGCTGCTGTGTTGTGGAGATGGAGCACAGCTTGCTTTAAATGTGTTGATACCCAGAGGTATCATCTTCCCGAGGCAAGAGAGTTAACTGACTATAAAAGTCCAGTTTCCACCCTTGCCGAACTAGGCTGGTATTATGGAGTTACATTTTGGCTGGACTAACGAGTCTAAGCATAGTCCAGTCAAAATCGTGCACTGAAATTGAAATCCGGTTCGTAAACTGTCGTCCAGATTTCGGTTGATTGCAAAGTATGTGCACCGCCAGCTCGTTGTCAGCAGATATTTTCCAAATCTTTTCATGTTTTTAATCAAGGTGCCCATGTGATTTGATGCGTTTCGCGATATAAGACCCGTTTTATGACACTATAGATCTTGATTATCTATCAGATCGTCCTGACTGGGCGCCACCATTTTGTTTGAAGCAAACAAAAGTGATAGGAGAGGTGGAATCTGATTGGTCCACAGGAGAGGCTTAGAAGGGACATAAGTTGTAACAGACACTGGTGACGCTACGGTCGAGCCCAGTAATTCCAGCCTAGTTCGGCAAGGGTGGAAACTGGACTTTTAAAGTCAGTTAACTCTCTCGCCTCGGGAAGATGAGAGGTATAGAACAGATTGAGAGGCGATTAAATTTGATTGCGTAGTCAGACTCTGTGACTTGGCTGATCTGACAGTCATCCTGATAGCATCAAGCTTTGCTCATGTTCTGATGGTTTGGCTGGTAAAACTTGAATTTCCATTGGTCACCATGATATAGCTGAAATATTGCTGACAAAATTCATGCACTGTAAGCCTAACATTAAGTAGCCTGAATATTCTTATCATATATTAACAAAAAATACTTTTAAGAAGCCAGGATTAACTGTGTGATGTACATCTGGACTTGATTTTGTGTGAAAACAAAGAATGAGATCAAATGTGTGAAAAATAATCACAGGACTGATAATGGGTAGAATGGTCTAAGGGAGATAACTCAGGTTTGCAATGGGTGTGCAGGAATATTTGGTATGAAGAAACATTAACGAAATTGAATGAAAACATCTTTGTATAATTGCATAGAAATAATTAAAGGTTACCTGAGGAGTTAAATTTGTACAGCACCTGTCGTGCTTATACTGCTCAACCTCTGATAGGGATATGGAGATATTTCATACTAATGTTAGGATTCTCTTTGGAAAAATAGGAATATTCTTATGAAAAGTTATAAGCTATAAGTATATTTTAGCATGTGTATTCCATGACTTTTTGTTTCAGATATACTCAAGATTTCATCAAGAAAGCTCCAAACAACGAAAGTGCGTGGAATTACATGAAAGGGTAAGTGAACATTTCCAGGAATTCTCCCATCTTCCTGAGGCAAGGGACACTATAAAAGTTTCCAGTTTCCACCCTTGCCGAACTTGGCTGGAGTTTCATAGCCCAGTTTATTTAGGCTGTGATTGTAAGGTTTTCATTTGCTGAAGATACAGTCAAACACTGTTGTGTAGAACTATGATGTGTCGAACTTGCAATTGTCTCAAAGTAAAAGGTCCCTACGTATTCCTTCTTTATTCATCATTTTCGGTTGTGTTGAACCTTAGATAACTCGGAAGTATTTACATTGGTCCCTTCAACTTTGACACAACGGTGTTTGACTGTATGTTCTGTTAAACTTTGGCCAAACCCATTCGTCTTTTGAGCAATTTGCTGTGCAGAATTGTCTCCCTTAGGCATCAGCCTGGCTTCGATTCTGAGATTCACCCGGATGTGTTTCTAGGTTTGTCAGCACCTCTGTGCTCGTGAATTTCCCCATAGAAGTAAACTTTTAAGACCCACATCATGCCATGATATAACTGAAATACTGTTCAAAGCAGCTTTAACCAAACTCACTCTCCCACTTGTACTTTAACATCACTGTCAAGAGTATTCTTAATGTGGAATTTCCTTCGATTCAGGCTTGTAACTAATGGTCAAATTTCTTCCGACTACCAACTATATGAACTGTTTAGTTTACATATTAAAGAAATAATGATCACATCATTGTATGTTATTATCAAGAAAACCTTGCAGTTCTCATTGATTACCGCGATTCGCTGTGCAGGGTTGCGTCCCTTGGGCACGCCAGAAACCTATGATTGTGGGTTTGAATCCCGGTTCGCCCCGATTATGTTTCTAGGTTTGTCAGCACTATGCTCGTGGGTTTCACCAAAGTGGTAAACGTCTAAGACCTGCATCACTTCGGGCTTTCCTCCCACATTAAGCTGACACGCTGTGATATAACTGGAATACTGTTAAAAGTGGCGTTAAACCCTACTCACTCACTCACTCACTCACTCACTCACTCACTCACTCACTCACTCACTCACTCACTCACTCACTCACTCACTCACTCACTCACTCACTCACTCACTCACTCACTCACTCACTCACTCACTGTTTTCCCTGTCATCTCCCCTTACATTGTAGCCTCATGATATGCATTATGGCCAATCTGGCAATGCTGGTTGATTATTAACGTGTTACTTTAATATTAATGAATGCAGTGTAAGACGCCTCTTACCAGGGATATAGCATTACACCACCATCCATGCTCTCGCATCCCCATGTGGATTCCGAGTTAGAATTGATCCCCAGCAATCTATGCTGGTCGTAAGAGGTGAACAAATAGATCGGTGGTCATCACTGACTTGTTTGATGGGGTATCACCTACCCTGACAGTTTGGATCGGTATTCACAATATCAATTACTGGATTGTCTGGTTCAGCCTTGATTAATTAAAGCAGTGATATTGCTTATATATATTCATGAGTGTCATGTTAAACAACAGGTAAACTAAAAAACGTGTGATGACCAACATAAAACATGTCTCCCGATGGATGTATCCTCCAGCGTTAAAAATTGGCACTAGTCCTATAGTCCTTGCCAAAGTGCCCAATAGTTAAGGTATCATAAAGACTAGTAGATATTTGCCATTTTTAAGGGTTTTGCTATATGTTATCATCCTGAGGACTAGTGGACTAGTTTCTACCACTGGAACATGCATTTGCAGGTACACTATGACAAATTACATGCATGTATAAACATGTCCAATGCTGAGCACACAATTGAAATATGTATCTCACTCAGCAATGAAGACAGAATGTGACTTGTCAGCAGTTGTGTGTGTTTGGGGGGGTGGTGGGGGTTGCAGTAATGTACTTAATAGCTTGCCAGGTCCTGTACAGTTCAGGTTTTAAGCATGAATGAACTGTTAGTTTCTATTTCTATTGCTATCCTCCTACACAACCATCCACGCTGTAATATTTCGGCCTCTGCTTGCAGGGTTCTCCTGGACCGGGAGTTGAGCAAGTACCCAGGGCTGATGGAGTTCTGTACGGAACTGTACGACAACCGGTACCGCTCTCCCTACCTCATCGCCTGCATGGTGGACACGTACGAGGAGATGTTGGAGCTGGGCTGTGAGGAGAAGGAGTCTGTGCTGCAGAAGGCCCTTGAGGTGACAATACACCCCAACTACCACGCCTTCACCCACCCCAACTACCACGCCTTCACCCACCCCAACTACTACACCTACCCCAACACCCACCCCAACTACCACACCTACACCCACCCCAACTACCACACCTACACCCACCCGGACGACTACACCAACCCCAACACCCACCCCAACGACTACACCTACACCCACCCCAACACCCACCCCAACTACCACACCTACACCCACCCCAACTACCACACCTACACCCACCCCAACTACCACACCTACACCCACCCCAACTACCACACCTACACCCACCCCAACTACCACACCTACACCAACCCCAACTACTACACCTACCCCAACAAACAACCATGACTACACCCACCCCAACTAACACCCAAACATCCACCCCAACTACCACACCTACACCCACCACAACATCCACCACAACATCCACCACAACTACCGGCACAACTACCACCACAACTACCACCACAACAACCATGACAACACCCACCCCAACTAACACCCAAACATCCACCCCAACTACCACACCTACACCCACCCCAACTACTACACCTACCCCAACATCCACCCCAACTGCCACCCCAACCATATCTCTGTGCTGCCTGTGTAAACGATTTTGATATTGACTTGTCGCTACAGAGAGCTCCTCCATGTTTTTCCTAATTGATCACCAATTCAAATCTGCATCACACTTAACATGCTTTAGTAAAGTGCATGCAAGATGATTCACTTCCTTAGACACTTGCCTTATATCTTAGAATGTGCAATATATGGAGACTGGACTCCACATTTTTTATCCATTCACTGTTGATGATTCCAACCCAATAAGTACATAGAAAGTTGCATGATCGAAAAAAATAGTGCACTTTTTTAAGGCACGTGTTCTGGGAAGGTAATCGTGTCCATTCTTCTTGGGATTTCAATTGATGCACAGCCCCTAGATCTGTGTAGCAACAAGCCAGTATCAATATTGTTTATTGTGAGCAGCACAGCGATAAGTTACCACAGCTACAGCACCCCATGCTTTAGAGTGGAGTTATGAGACTGACCTGTGAAGATCCGGGGTAGAATAGGTCTTCAGCAACCCTTGCTTGCCGTAAAAGGCGACTTTGCTCCTCATCAGAGGCGACTAATGGGATCAGGTGGTCAGGCTCGCTGACTTGGTTGATGCATGTCATCGATCCCAATTGCGTGGATTGATGCTCATGATGTTAATCCCTGGATTGTCTGGTCCAGACTTGATTATTTACAGACTGCCGTCATATAGCTGGAATATTGCTGAGTGTGGTGTTAAACAACAAACCAACCAACCAACCAGTCATGAGACTGGTAGTAAGTGTATGGGACCTGGTTGTTAATGTGTTGTTGTTTAGTGTACCGAGGTTTGGTTTCACACCCAGTGAATGGGATGATTGGTTGGATTATATTTACCTGTCTCCATCATACAGCTAAAATATTATCACCGTGTTATGATTCTTCGGACGCTTAAGATAATTTTCTTGTTAATCCCAAGAACAACTGTAAAACGTCTCACTCACTTATAAAGACGACTTGATGACAGGTCATCATCTGAGTATTTACAATGACTGTGTGACGCGACACCCCTTGTTATAACGCAAGTAATCGCAATAAACATGGCCATCCGAAAACGTATGTCCAAAAACCTATGTTCCAGTTATACAGCAACACTAAACAACATACATTACCTTCCTTTAGTTTTTAATTAAAACAAAAATAAATGTCTATTTTGTGAGCTTGGTGACATTGATAGTTTTGTGTTAGAAGTTAATGGGGCCCTGGGTACTTTTCTGCTGTAATAAATATTTTATTTTTGACAAAGACTAATGACCAGGCCCGTGAAGATTCCGGGGTAGAATAGGTCTTCAGCAACCCATGCTTGCCGTAAAAGGTGACTATGCTTGTCGTAAGGGGCGACTAACGGGATCGGGTGGTCAGGCTCGCTGACTTGGTTGATGCATGTCATCGGTCCCAATTACGTGGATCGATGCTCATGTTGTCAATCACTGGATTGTCTGGTCCAGACTCGATTATTTTCAGACCGCCGTCATATAGCTGGAATATTGCTGAGTGCGGCGTTAAACAACAAGCCAACCAAACCAAAACCATTGCTGACATTGATTTTTAGTTTTCACACTAGTTTTAATTTCAGTTAAATGATTCTTTTTCTTGTCTTGGCTTGTGCTTTAACTTGTTTTTTCATTCTCTTCCAGTTATGTAATTCCTTAGCAGAGGAGTATGATACCATCCGGCGGGAATACTGGAGCTACGTGTCTCGCTCCTTAGCATCAAAGTTTGGGACTGAAGTAGGAGTAAACTCCTAGTACAAATCGTGATTGATCAGTAGTAACCGTGTACATATCCCTGATACATCATCCACATTTCCTGCACTCCTACAAGGGACGTCACTCAGCCAGGCAACAGATAACATCGTCACTAAGTGACGTCTCTTGCCTCCTGCACCTGATTCCAATAAAATACAGGATTTCTCCAGTTCTTTAGCCAGGTATGTTGCAAGCGGCAACCATTGATTCACAGTAGCAGGGTTGTCTGTTGTGACATTATCACGGTTTGTTTGACCTAACTGGGTGGAGAATAACAAGCTATTGCTGGCATCTAGCATTTTATATCTCTATCTTACCAAGACACTAAAAGTGTCTTGGATAGTTGCATCTCGCGCTGAGGTCAGACCAAGGTGTTTTGCTATGTTTTACAGAATTTTCATGGTATTAACGGGTAAAAACATATTAAAAAAATTATGTATACTACTTAATATTTGCTGAGGAGCACCCCTTTGACTGAATATGACTTTTAATCCTTAGCAAATGTTGTGTAGTATATAGTATCATGTTGAGAATGTTTCTTAAAAGAACTATTGAATTATTATTATTAACAAAAATACAATCAAAAAGATGCTCAAATATTATTATTATTATTTTATTTTATTTTTTTTCCACCACAATTCAGGCACATTCATTTGTAACTAAAAGGGGAAAATATTGGTCTGTCTGTAAGGTATATCTCTCTCATACTTGACATAGTTCCTTCTTCACCAAGTTATATATATATATAACCTGCATACATGTAGCCCTATTGTATGAGACATGGATGACCACCACCATAGGGACCCGATCCATAAGACAACTGTAGTGAAGATCACGTTGTGGAATTGGGCCCTGGACGGTGCTTTTATTTTTGTGTGCTTAGAGTCTCGTGTTTGGTTTGGATGTAATTGGATTTTCTTCAGAATTTTCTTTTGTTTTTCTGTAATCCATGATTACCTCCTTCATTTGAGGACTTATACGCATTTTACATATCCTGAAGCACCGAAACCCCGATTCAGTGGGGACTCCTGTTTGATGTGTCCACATGTAGTCAAAGGGACATAACTCTATCCACTGTTCATTACCTGCAATAAGAAGGGCTTTATGACATCCGTTTGATCATGCAGGGATCAGGATTTGAAGAAACGTTTTGGTGGAAATCTATTTTGAATCCAGGAACTGGCTCTGATTTAAACAAAGATGAAAGGGAGTGCGGGAATGATGAATACGACCTTGAGAATGATGATAAAATGCTAACATACACCATTATCATTCAGACCAATTTTACAAGAGTGTAAATATTTCGAGAAAAACAATCTCCAAATCTTATCGTGTTTACAATTATTAAATTTGATTATTGCCCTTTTGTAGATGCGTAACATGCATCCGTTTTGTATTTACAATTATTAAATTTGATTATCACCCTTTTGTAGATGCGTAACATGCATCCGTTTTGTATTGAACAAATATGACTTCTTTGTGTGAAAATCCTCGAAAGATCTTTTTCTCAGCGTGCTTGAGTGTATCCTCGGATTGAATTTGAAGTAGTTTAAATCAGGATTGTTCACTGAAAGTGAAGCACATAATATTGAAATGATCAGGTGATGCAAACTTCTATTTTGTTTTTTGCTTTTGATTGTGTTGCAAAAGGATTGACATGATTGATGTGTGAATGAGCTATAGATTTTTGGGATATGATTTATGTGTGAATGCTCCTTAACCGTATGAAAGGTCTAATGATATTTGTGGCCTCAGAAAACAAACATCAAGAACAAGCTTGATTCTGCATTTTGGATTGACCAGGTGGTGTACAATATGAACATATATGAAGTCATGACAATAGTCAATTATGTAAAAGTTCACCGGTGAATGATTCAAAATTCCACGATGTTTAAGTCAACAAGGCTATCATGACAACACAACATATTTCATATTACACAAGGGGCGGTCGGGTTGCCTAGTGGTTAAAGCGTTCGCTCGTCACGCCGAAGACCCGGGTTCGATTCCCGACATGGGTACAATGTGTGAAGCCCATTTCTGGTGTTCCCCCGCCTTGATATTGCTGGAATATTGCTAAAAGCGGCGTAAAACCATACTCACTCACTCACTCATATTACACAAAAAGTGTTTACTAAAGACACTTGGATGCCAAATCAAGAAGCTGCAAGTAAAGTTATAGGTTGATATGAATACTCACGAGACACAAGCAATCACCAGTTTTCAAATGTGTCTTTTCAACCTTGCAAAGTAAATTAAAGTCACACATGCCCAGCAACCTTGCTTGTCGTGAGAGGCGACATGGTCAGGCTCGCGGACTTGATTGATACTGTCATCGTTGTAACCCAATGGTGTTGATCATTCACTATCAGTCACTGCAAGATCCGGGTTAGAATAGGTTTTCAGCAACCCATGTTTGCCGTAAAAGGCGACTATGCTTGTCGTAAGAGATGATTAATGAGATCGGGTGGTCAGGCTCGCTGACTTAATTGATGCATGTCATTGTATTCCAATTGCGAGGATCGAAGCTCATGATGTCAATCACTGGATTGTCTAGTCCAGACTCGATTATTTACTGACTGCAGTCATACAGCTGGAATATTGCTGAGCACATTATTTAAACAACAAACAAACAATCACTGAATTGTCTGGCCCAGACTCTATTATTAAGATGCCGCCGGAATGGCCAGCTGAAATATTGCTGAATGCAGGGTTAAATAACTAATACAGAAACAGGTGTGAACGACTGTTAATCCTGAGTTATTGTCTTCACATCTTGTAAAGCTTGCCATATTGTGTAATGTTTCCATTTACACGTTCAGGTAGTGCAGTGTCCCAAAGGGGACAAACACAAGCAAATCCTAGTTTGGTGAGTTTATGATGTTAGACGCAGTCATTCAATTTGCACTGATATTGTATCTGTATGAATGTTTCATTGTATCAAGGAAGTATATGTGCTACATTTTGACCGCTTTTGACATATTTCGGATATTGACAAGAAGTTGTTGTAAAATACTTTGTTTTTAAACAAATTCATGACAGGCTTACACAATGTGTTAATACTTTGGATTATTATCATACATGGTTTCATGTTGAGAAATAAAAGTGTGATTCAGTATGGTATGTGCAGAATGTTGTACGTGGTCAAATCTATTTCCTTCATATGAAGAGGAATTATGAGTTGTGTTAAAATTAGAATATTTTATATATTGCCAAGAGATATTTACTTGTATAAAACTAATAAATAATTTATTTACGTCTTTACAGTTTTTTTTTCACCTTTGTTTAAACTGCTAAGGCTAAGCTTCTTGTAAATTGCTTATAGATATAAAGGCTTGCATAAGGCTCAGCTTCTGAGGATCCATAATAAGTGGACTGCCACAGGTTTGTAAAGAAATTAAAGCCAATCATCTCTTGATTTGTGTTATTATCTGATTGAAATGTATGGACTTAGCACTTCGTGTTCCGTCAGTTGACATTTGTGCTGTTTCTCAAAAGGTTTGGCAAAGATCAACATTTTGACCTCAGGAAAGGTTTTATAGATGAGATATGAAGTGATACTGACGTTTCCCCTTTGTTGTTGCTCTAGGGGGAGGGGGGTACAGGCTTCATGGCATGTGGGTAATGAGACTTTCAGTTTATGAGTTGTACATAGTGCTAAATTTTCTCCTTTTAAATACAGTTACGGTTTTGATTTTTCACTTGTATATAGAGATCTACAAAAAAAATGCTGCATATAAATTATTTTTGGCATTCTTGTAAAAATAAACATTAAACATTTTTTAATGTTTTGTTAAAATTAACTGCCAAAGATTTAGGATTTGGGTAATTGGAGTGAGCAAGCTTGTGGAGGTGTGCCAATTTTTAGAGAATCACGATATGAAATGTATCATCACTGGATGGCAGTTGTGATATGTTTGTGAATCTATTTGTTTGATGGTGTGTTTGAAAATTCAAATGGATGGATTTCCTTTTTGTTATGTATGGCAGCTACAGTGAATCGGTCAGCGTGTCTGGACACTTATTATTTTTCAAATGCTCAAGTACACTCCATGCCCTGCTCTGTAGATAGTCTCGAACCAAATGTGAAGTATATTGTCTGTCATTGATGTACAGGGTTTGCATAATAAATGTCAAATTTCAGATTTACGTTGTTTGTTGGAATTTCAAAATTCTTTGAAATGAAATGTTTTGAGAATTTTGACAATAATAACTTGTAAGTTTGCTTCTGGTTTTGAGACTTTTATGCAGTTGCTTCCTGTTTGAGATGGCCCTGTGGTCGGAGTTGTTGCCGCAGCAGCCTGTGCAGCAAGTTCTTTTCCTGCTTGAGTGATTGGTGTGCTGCATATGTCACTGCGCATCAGATGAAATAAACCTCAGTATTATCTGAAAACTTGTTTTGTTATTGTTACAAAGTCTCCCTGCAAGAGAATGAGGGGCGGTCGGGTAGCCTAGTGGTTAAAGCGTTCGCTAGTCACGCCGAAGACCCGGGTTCGATTCCCAACATGGGTACAATGTGTGAAGTCCATTTCTGGTGTCCCCCACTGTGATATTGCTGGAATATTGTTAAAAGTGGCGTAAAATCAAACTCACTCACTCACTGCATGGAATGACAAAAGGCACACAAACAGCACATAAACGGCACACAAACAGCACACAAACACGCTTATGGACCCAGTTTGGCCAACTTGAAGTTGAATTGACTAATTGTAGGAGCCCCTGGGAGCAATGTTGGGCAAAACAAGGTCACCGGTGTACCAAGTTGTAGTAAATAATGATTGTGTTTACTGTCCTTGTCCATTAATGGCATGACCTGTGGTATCAACCACTGGTTTTCTAGACAAGACTAATAAGTGCCGAAAAAACAGTATTATACTTGTTAAACAACATGCACACTCTTTTGTAAATCCAGTCTACCGAGACAAAACTAGCTGATTTCAGTTTTTCAAGACCAACTGTTATATGTCAGCGGGCTCATTCCAGTCTCTCCAGACCAACTGTTATATGTCAGCGGGCTCATTCCAGTCTCTCCAGACCAACTGTTATATGTCAGCGGGCTCATTCCAGTCTCTCCAGACCAACTGTTATACGTCACCGGGCTCATTCCAGTCTCTCCAGACCAACTGTTATATGTCAGCGGGCTCATTCCAGTCTCTCCAGACCAACTGTTATATGTCACCGGGCTCATTCCAGTCTCTCCAGACCAACTGTTATATGTCAGCGGGCACATTCCAGTCTCTCCAGACCAACTGTTATATGTCACCGGGCTCATTCCAGTCTCTCCAGACCAACTGTTAACCGTGATGGATGATACAGAGATGTGATTGTTACAGTTAATGCTAGAAACAGGATACTTTTTGTCACTTCTAAGTATGCAATTATTTGCTGTGAAGCCAATGTTTTCTGGATTTCAACTTGACGCTCAAGTCGAGTCCCTTCTAATATCGCATCAGCGACACTACGACTTAACATAACCTGCAAAAATAATGAATAACACACTGTTTCATGTTTCAATTATTGTCAGATGTTTTTACTGATGTTTTATTGTTATAATTAGGCCCCTTTCAAGATTGTTGAAGCAGAGCTATGATTCTACCATTGAGCCAAAATGGCAGAAATGCGATGCCATGATTCGGAGTGCGAAAACAATAAAATATTTATTTCAGAATGACATCTGAGAGGGCCATGCAGAGAGAATCAGATTACTATTCCCTTGACAAATTAATGAGCCTAGTGAAACGAGCAGTTATTGGAGATGGATCAAAGATTCATAGCAGGCGACAGAGCACAGCAAGGGAGGTAACTCTTGACACCATAATGTATAATTTTACCCAAGAATGAATCCATATATTCATATTTTTTTCATTTTGTGAAAATATAAATGTGTTGTGAGATTGGTCAAGAGCATTTATAAACGATTGCACATCAGAATGATGTCATGTTATACTGTGGCATGGTATCTCTGGGCTAGCAGTATAAAACCAGCACAAATCTGGACCAAGACGAGCAGCCACACACACACATGCAGGCTGCTATATGAGTGAAATTATCATGAACGCAACAACATTTCACTTGACCTGATGCTGATGCTGGAACAAGGTGTTTTCACTAATTATGCATATCCACGCAGTTCAGTTGTCTTCAGCAACCCTTGCTTGTCGTAAGAGGCGACTAATGGGATCAGGTGGTCATCTCATCCCAATTGCGTGGTCCAGACTATTATTTACAGACCGTAGTCAAATAGCTGGTATATTGCTGAGTGCGGCATTAAGATCAAACAAACAATTGTCAGGTTGCGATTGTGCTACGTTGTTTAACAGAAGCCCAGTTGTATTGCATACCCATACCTTCAGCCTGGTTGTATTGCATACCCAGGCATTTAGTGTGGTTGTATTGCATACCCATACCTTCAGCCTGGTTGTATTGCATACCCAGACCATTCTGGTTGTATTGCATACCCAGACCTTCAGCCTGGTTGTATTGCAAACCCGGACAGTGTCGGTTGAATTGCATACCTGGACCTTCGGTCTAGTTGTATTGCATACCCAGACCATTCTGGTAGTAATGCATAAACCTTCAGCCTGTTTGTATTGCAAACCCGGACAGTATCGGTTGAATTGCATACCTGGACCTTCGGTCTAGTTGTATTGCATACCCAGACCATTCTTGTAGTGATGCTAAACCCGACCTTCAGCCTGGTTGTATTGCATACACAGGCATTTAGTGTGGTTGTATTGCATACCTATACCTTCATTCTAGTTGTATTGCATACCCAGACCTTCATTCTAGTTGTATTGCATACCTAGACCTTCATTCTAGTTGTATTGCATACCCAGACCTTCATTCTAGTTGTATTGCATACCTAGACCTTCATTCTAGATGTATTGCATACCCAGACTTTCATTCTGGTCGTATTGCATACCTAGACCTTCATTCTAGTTGTATTGCATACCTAGACCTTCATTCTAGTTGTATTGCATACCCAGCCCTTAATCCTGGTTGTATTGCTTACCCAGACCTTTAGTGTGGTTGTATTGCATACCCAGACCTTCGGCTTGGTTGTATTGCATACCCAGATCTTAAGTGTGGTTGTATTGCATACCCAGACCTTCGGCTTGGTTGTATTGCATACCCAGATCTTAAGTGTGGTTGTATTGCATACCCAGATCTTAAGTGTGGTTGTATTGCATACCCAGACCTTCGGCTTGGTTGTATTGCATACCCAGATCTTAAGTGTGGTTGTATTGCATACCCAGACCTTCGGCTTGGTTGTATTGCATACCCAGATCTTAAGTGTGGTTGTAATGCATACCCAGACCTTCGGCTTGGTTGCATTGCATACCCAGACCTTCGGCTTGGTTGCATTGCATACCCAGACTGTGGTTGTATTGCATACCCAGACCTTTAGTGTGGTTCTATTGCATACCCAGATCTTAAGTGTGGTTGTATTGCATACCCAGACCTTCAGCTTGGTTGCATTTCATACCCAGACTGTGGTTGTATTGCTGTGGTTGTATTGCATACCCAGACCTTGTGTGACAGCTTGATGTGGGAGGAAAGCCCGAAGTGATGCAGGTCTCGGATATCTCGACTTGCAGGAGGTGGGTTAATCTGGGATTCAAACCCACCATTTGCACAGAAATCTGTGTGCAACTCGCATGATTTAAGATGGGATGGAAAGCACGAATCTGATAAAATCATGTAAAGGATAGAATTAAATCAGTGGTAATTCAACTGCATTCAATACCTTTGTACCAGCAGCCCTGAGACAAAGGGATAGTTTATACATCACTATATATAATAAGAAGACCTATATATAAAGGCTAAGGTTGACCGGAGGGAGTGTTTGTCAATTTCTGGCAGGGAGGCACCAAACTGACATGCACACAATATACCCATGTGGAGAACTGAACCAATACCATTAGTGTAATTGTGTAAACGCCTCAGCTCCCAGTCCCGTCCCCCCAGCCCAGTAGTGATGTTTTGTATGCAATTATTCCATATGCTATTGTACCACGGCGTGGAGTCATCCCAAAGCTTGCTGCCAGGGTCTATATCTCTGGGAGGGACGGTCGGGTAGCCTAGTGGTTAAAAGCGTTCAATTGTCACGCCGAAGACCTGTGTTCGAATCCCGACATGGGTACAATGTGTGAAGCCCATTTCTGCTGTCCCCCGCCGTGATATTGCTGGAATATTGCTAAAAGCGGCGTAAAACCATACTCACTCACTCACCACTTTTATGACCAGTGGAATCTCTTTCGTCAGATAGTCGAGAGTGACTATTCTCTGGCGTCAATATTTGATATTTGCTGTGCATCTCTGCTTCATTGCACAAGTCTCACTTGATTGTGTCGCGTCTGTATAGTGCGCGCATTCTTGAGCAGCTTCAGTCCAGAATTCACACACGCAGGTTACTGGGAAATACTAGACTGTTCCTTTCACTTGTGACTTGAGGTGATGTCTAATGAGGGTTAACATGTTAAAGATTATTGGGGCGGTGAGGTAGTCTGGTGGTTAAAGCGTCCACTCGTCAAGCAGAAGGCTCGGGTTTGATTTCTAACATGGGTGCAATGTGTGTAGCCCATTACTGGTGTCCCCCGCCGATTTTGCTGGAATATTGCTAAAAGCAGAGTAAAACCATACTCACTCATTCAAGATTATTGCACTTATATAGCAAAATGCATGCATGTGTGTGTGTGGTTGCTTGTACTAGTCTGAACTAATGCTGGTTTTATAGAGCTAGCCCACTGAGATACCATGCTACAGTTTAACATGGATACCCCACTCAGACACAGTGTACTGACTCCAAGCCGACCAATCCTTGTTTTAGCCACTTAATGCCTTATACAATTTTTCAGTCAGTCAAAACCGGTAGTGAAAGTCACTCACTCACTCACTATATCTCTGGTCATGTGGACAAGGTGTCCAACCTCGAATCAGAAGGTCCATTGTTCTAATCCCATCAACGTGGGGCTGAGCATGTTCATATTAAATCGGAGCAAAATAAGTCTCAGTAACCTACTATTGGCCCCGGGACGTGCCTTCTGTTGATGGGGAAGTATGTAGCAGGGCGTGGAGTGATCTCACAGATGACAATTTCACCTCCTCAGCTTGCTAGAGTTACCCTCTTGTCATGTGGACAAGGCATCCAAACCTCGGATCAGAAGGACCTGTGAAGATCCGGGTTAGAATAGGTCTTCGGCAACCCATGCTTGTCACAAGAGGCGCTTAATGGGCCCGGGTGGTCAGGCTCGCTGACTCGGTTGATGCATGTCACTTATCCCAATTGTGTGGATTGATGCTCATGGTATCAATCACTGGATTGTCTGGTCCAGACTTGAATATTTACTGACCACCGTCATATACATGTAGCTTGAATATTGCTGAGTGCGGCGTAAAACAACAAACATTGGATCAGAAGGTTTGAATCCCATCACAGGACTTGCAAATTTTGTGGCAGCGATACTATTTTCATCACATTTCCATTCTTTTATTCTTAGCTAGCAGACAGTTTTGAATTGACGGTGTGTCAAATTAATATTCATAATCTTGGCAATCAATGACATGCAACAACTGGGTATACCGTATTTGACGTAATAAGCGCCCAGGGCGCTCTCAAAATTAGAAATAGGGGGCTCTTATTATTATTTTGGTAAAAAAAAAAAAAACAGAGTTAAAAGATAAATTTCGTGGTTTATGCTGACAGCCTGAAATGTTTATATACGACAGGTATATTTTTCCAGAATTAAATTGCCCATAATTAAGGGTGCATATAACACATGAGTGCGTATTATACAAGAATAAATAAGTCTTGCGTACATTGATCAATTGGGATTTTCACTAGCCAATATATTAGCAAATGTTGCCGTGGGCGCTTATTACGTTGAATACGGTAATTCAAGTTATCCATACATATATACCAAAGTTGCAACAAACACTGTTCAATATTACTTGTGGTTCATACATTATCAAGAAACAAGACCAGTTCGATCGTAAATCTATTTTATTTTGTGTATGAAACTGTACATATCTGACTAGTATTTCTTTGGGAAATGCAAATGTACATTACATTGTGATACTAACCGCCGTCGTTGAATATCAATACACTGTACATGGCCTCTACAGGCGACATCTGCATCCAGCACACGGATGCTAAGGCACAAATCCAACATTAGGCATGTCTGGTCCACCTATTCTTGAAATGGATTAGCATCAATTGCAATCAATTTCAAAGGAAACTTTCCTTGTTAAAACCTGATGTACCTGTTAGTACAGCGACAAGCAAGCAGGGAATCTATTGTTAGTTGAATAAATATGGATAAACGTTAAATCTATTGACATTTAGTTGAGTCTTCTATACTTTTATATCTATAGCATATCTAAATGAAGGAAGATTCTGAATGTCGAAAATTCCCCATTTCTAGCAAAATTGTGAGTGACATCCAAAATTTTTCGAATTTTGAATTATTATTTTTACAAAATTTTAACCAAAACAAACAAGTCTCCAAGAATATAAATTTGAAAATGTACACCAGACATGCTTAATGTTTTCAGTCCAGGCCAATAGTTGCTAATCACAAAGTAATGTGACAGATAGACTTCACAGTACACATTACTGGTCATTTGAAAGCTGATTCATTTCATGAAATCAACATCGTCAATAGCGAAATCAACATTTCGTGACAAGATGTATTTCAAAATGCCTCAATACAAATCTATAATTTTATTATTATTATTTAAACACACTGACTGTTAGTCTAAATAATTGATAATATTTTTTGTAATATATAAACAATAATTAGACCCAAATAACAAATCTCCAAAAGACGAACTCTGTTGCCATTGTTGTGAATGCACCACAATGGACACAACATTACTACTCAAATTGTTTCTTTTAATTTTTAATTGTTTAATAAATGCCATTTATATGATAAAAGGCAATGTAACAAACTAACAGAGACTATAATCCTTAAGGAAAAAGACAATAATAACCCTTATCAAAATAATGATCCATGAAAACAGGCAATAAATGTTCAACTAAATACAAATATGATGAAGTTCACCAAATATGTCAAGTAACACCTGTATATATGTTTAATGTTTTTGAAATCTTTAACATTACATACTGAAGTACAATGAACCAAGGCACTTTATCAAGAATTCATAAACACATTTATAAAGAGCACTAAAAAGCCATGGATAAGAATATGAAAATGTAACAATTATTTAAGATCAAGTCAAAATGCGCAAGCAATAATCATTTAAAAATAATATACTTGCTACTTTCAATGATAAACAAAAACCAAATGTACATTTTTACTGAGAGATTCAAATATAAGGTTCTGCAAAACTCTTTTAAACAGCTTGACAACTGAAAGAAATACCTTATGAACAGAAGTAATTAAAAGTGATACTGAATCTAAAAAAGACATACAAATTTGAAAGGTCCATCAAAATTAAAATTTAGTGAAAAAATACATTAAATGTTTAAAATTTTGAATTAAATTTACTATTTGGTAGATTATACTGAGGCAGACTCCCAAAAGTCACATACAAACAGTATGCATTCACAGATTGTTGTCGATTGGCAACAACATAAATTACATTTCAAATCTTGATTAAAATACATTAAAATCAACTAATAGTAATAAGTTTCATCAATACACTAGGAATCAAGTGGGGTATTTATCATAAATGTGGAAATGTTAATGCAAGTTGTATTCCAGCAGTATGAGATGTGAGCACCACATATATGTCTATATATATATCGGTAGCCAATCTTGCACAAATCTAAAAAGTCACATCATTGTGGCAGTTCCTTTGAAATAAACAATGGTTGGATGAGGAAGATGAAAAAAAGGCACATTTCTACACTCTTTGCACGCAATGTTATTTTTCATCCATTTTTCTCTCTGAAATGATAATAGTTGTCTGTACAATATTACCTATTTTCCAATTTTGCCCAAATTGCTTAAATCCAGATTGTGAATATTCCGTACACATTTCACTTAACGTCATTCATATAAATGCATCTTCAATCATCTACAAATTCACTTTGGCACATTCGACAAGGGCGAATTCACATAGCACCCATAGACTTCAACACACAAATAGCGCACCTACGCTTCAACACACTGATTCCTCACCGTTCATAGCCATTAGTTTTAAATCTCGACTTTCGAGTTCTAGAGTTAGCTGTTCAACTTCAGCTTCGAGTGTTCGGTTTTTCCGGTACATCTGTACATAGTTGAGCTGTAATTGTTTCTGGTAGCGAATCACTTTGTTCTTCTCATCCAACCATGTTTCTTTGTCCTTTTCGAAATTTGAACGGTGTACGAGGATTTCGTCTCGTAACCTATCCACCTCGTCTTTCAATTCCGCTATTTTTCTGTCCCTGGCGGAAACGATGGAAGGTTTGAGCAATTCCGGCTCCGTGTCACACACTGTGTCATCCAAATCAGATTGCACACCGGCATCACAAAATTCCGGCTCTTCAGCCGATAATTTTCCAAGTTCATTTTTCAGAGATTTTAACTCTTCCGTCTTGGAGAGAATTTCTCGGAATTTTTCCGATAATTCTTTATTCTTCTTATCCATTTCCGACTCGTGTGAGTGAAGTTGAGTTCTTAGAGTAATCACCTCACGGCTCTTTTGAGTCACTTCCTGGTTCAAATCTCGAACTTGCTGTCGTAGTTCTGAAGTTTCGTTAATTTCCGTTGTAGGATGTCCATTAGTCTGCAGACCTCCCAGCCTCAGTTTCATATCTCGGACTTCGTCTTGGTAAGAGCTGCATTCTTTTCGAAGAATATCCTTCTCAAGGTACAGTTTGTCATATTCGTCCTTCAAAGATTTCTTCTCTTGTTGAAGTTTATATACCTGCAGCGACAACACTTGTTCTGTTTTGTAATTTTTACGCTGCTGAATTTTGAATTTGCGTTCATATTCCTCTCGCAGTTCACGCATTTCTTTCATCCACCCAGATTTCTTTTCCTCATAGACTTGAAATATTGCTCTTTCGTTTCTGTCCATGACATCGCGCAATGTATTCAACTCAGCATCCTTTTCTTTCAACATGGCTTCCAGTTCACCAACTCCGCTGTCGCTTGGTGAAGGCGTCTGAACAGGAAATACCTCCATGTTGTTTGAAGACACCCGGCTGACATTAAGGGATGGCAGCGACTCAGGTCTGTCAAGAGGTCGCGAGAAGTCACTTGAGAAACTTGTAGACCTCTCACTGCCATCATGATGAGAACTATGCGAGGAGTTCATCGTCTTGCTACTTGTCATACTGCCTGTCATGTGATTATAGTCATGTGACCCATACCCTTCATCCTGATTGGATAGTCGTCTCTTTGCTCCTTGGGGCGGACTAATGTGCTTCGCACTGTTCACAGGCTTAAAAGCGATTGGTCGCACAATGCTTCGGCCCACATTCTGAAAACAAAAGATGCAAAATCAGCACAAATTTTCTAAAAAAACAAACTTGGATAAAAAACACAATTATGTGTATAAACAGTAATCTGAAGTGATCAAATGATAAAAATAATTCTTAATTGGAAAAATAATAGGACACAAACAACAACCTTGTCAAACTCCAACAATAACTTTGAATACACCACTTTGTATGCAACATGGCCACAAAAGCACACAACATACCTATGTACCTAAATACCATGCTGCATACATTACACAGACAGTCGTGTAGGCACACATTGTGTGAAATGCCCTGGTGTGTGACAAGTTGCCTCATTAAGTTGCAGTGGTCTTAATAATTCAGACACTCCACAATATGGCTTCCCGTCAGACTCGCCACAGTGACGTTGGTTGGGATTATTATTACTTGCTTCCAAGTTCTCCTTCCGGACAAACATGACACTTGGGTGCCTAACAGCAATAGGCCAACTGTCTATAATAACCCTAGCTTAATTGCTTGTTGGAATTGACCAAGTGCCTGCCCACTGCACATGCACATATGCATTCACCATTGGTAACCTTTTTATAATTAGCTGCTTGTTGCTAGCAAAGCCAATGAAAAATGTTTATGAATAATTTGGATCACTCTTCATGAAAGTACACTATTCAACTGAGCTACACTATTCAACTGTAGCTACACTATTCAACTGGAGCTACACTATTCAACTGGAGCTACACTATTCAACTGTAGCTACACTATCCAACTGTAGCTACACTATCCAACTGGAGCTACATTATTCAACTGAAGCTACACTTTTCAACTAACTTTAATATCAACTGTAGCTACACTATTCAACTGTAGCTACACTATTCAACTGGAGCTACACTATTCAACTGGAGCTACACTATTCAACTAACTTTAATATCAACTGTAGCTACACTATTCAACTGTAGCTACACTATTCAACTGTAGCTACAATATCAACTGTAGCTACACTACTCAACTAGCTACACTATTCAACTGTAGCTACACTATTCAACTGTATCTACACTATTCAACTGTAGCTACATTATCCAACTGTAGCTACACTATTCAACATTTAGAAATAATCAGTATGGAGCATCATGGACATCAGAATTGTCCAGAAAAGTTTAGTTGTAAACTTAGTTGTAAACTTAGTTGTAAACAAGAACAAGTACATCATGTACTGTGCCATGTCAGAATCAAACCACATGTAACATTGTTAACTTTTAGGCCACATCAATTTTCACCCTTATTAACAGATTATGCTATTCAAATGCAGCAACGACTATCACAATGTTCATTTCAAACCCATATAGTCACATGTGGTTATGTTGTAACATTTCAGTGTAAGAGGTAACGGAATCAATTTCAAAATTACCCCAAAAATACTTCTTTTCTTGTCATAACCCTAATGGTAAAAAGTTGCAAGGGGCTAAAGACCCTAAGGGCCCACTTGCACAAAACGATCTTAGCGCTAAGACTAATGTAAGCCTATGCTAAAGTATGGGAGTTACGATCATCTTAGCGCTAAGAATGCTTTGTGCATGTGGGCCCAGATCTGCAGCAGAAAATCTCAAGGGTACCAGGCCTACCCTAAATTTCTGACCATATCCTATGTTATTAGCTATCCTATGTTATTATCCTATGTGAGATATCACAACACTAAGACCTGATAAGCAATAAAAAAAAAATTGCCTAGCCTTATTAAAAAAGACATTTAACAAGGCGTAAAGAGACCCTCACACAAAAGTATGTGGATGTTAAAGCCCTCAAGATCTGTAGTGTCACAAGCTGAGTCCAAGTTTGAAAAACAAGAACCACCTATCTAACACTTAAAGAAGAAAGCATGATTTAATTCCCTCTCCCAGACACTTTATATACACTCAAGATTCTGCACAACAAAGACATACTGTGCGCTTCTTTATGGGAGTAAACTAGGCTGACACGTCAGGCTCCGATGTCAGTCTAAACTGCCTTGTATATCTTTCTGGGGAGATGTGGGTTGGGTACCACTGGAGCTTGCAGTGTTTGATCCCTGAACCTGGCCACCTATCTTAAACCTCTTGGGCAAGGCTGTGTTACAGATAATTATTACATTGCCGACAGTGACAAAGCACAGGATGAAAATCAAAGAGGATTCCATTGGAAATTGTATACACTTGAATATTTTTGTGAGCAGAGCTTTAAGATTTCGGATACTGTTGGGAGATACTGACATCACGATGATGACAATGCTGATAACAGAGACAAGAGATGGAAAGAGTTTTTGGAAGCAAACAGGAAAAGCGTGAGCGAGTGAGTGAGTTGGGTTTAACGCCGCTTTTAACAGTATTCCAGTTATATCACGGCGTGTCAGCTTAATGTGGGAGGAAAGCCCAAAGTGATGCAGGTCTCAGACGTTTACCACTTCGGTGAAACCCACGAGCACGGGTATGGTGCTGACAAACCTAGAAACATAATCGGGGCGAGCCAGGATTTGAACCCACAATCATAGGTTTCTGGCATGCCCAAGGGATGCAACTCTGCACGGCGAATCGCGGCGCCTTAGACGACTGGGCCACCCAAACAGGAAAAGAAGCTCTGAAGATTAGGGCTGTTATGATTCACTTGTGTATTCGGTAAAATGAACCGTATCCATTCATGAATTGAATTTGTTAGTCGTGGCCACTAGAATCGAATATTTGTGTACATGCAAGCATGTGCATTTAAATAAAAATATCCATAAGAACATATGATATGCAAACATTTCTTCAAAAGACAACACTCTTATACTATTTAATTTGACAGTATTGTGGTCACAGGTCATTGTCACATTTGAGCAGATACTAGAAACTGGATAAGTGCAGTATATAAATGTATAATATATTAATAATTAACAAACCATGTCATATAATTTATGTTGTTATTGCTTCACTGAATATAACAAATTATACATCAGCTTCTGACTTGTTATTGTATTCATTAATTAATATTTGTATTCTTTACCCTATATAATGTGATACAAATCGTATTCGCCTCGTGTATTCATGGCAGCCCTACTGAAGATGATCCTTGAGTGAGTGAGTGAGTATTACATTACAGGTAGTCACAAAACACAGGAAGAAAATCAAAGGGCATTCAATCAGAAATTATATACACTTGAATATTTTTATGAGCAGAGCTTTTAAATACTAGAATGTGTAAGTGAGGGAGCTGGGTACAACCTTGACTGAACTTTAGCTTTAGCTACAGCTTAGGCTTTATCTTTGCGGTAGATCAACCTCACTGATATCATACAGCTACTTTCTGCATCAGTATATATTGTTTCATAACTTAATCATGTCCACAACAGATGCTCTACAAGCTGGCAGACCGCCTCCGTGGTCTTGTGGTAGAGCGTCCGCCCGGAGAGCGGAAGGTCCAGGGTTCGATCCCGGGCCGCGTCATACAAAAAGACGTTAAAAGATTGTACTTGTTGTTACCCTGTCTGGCGCTCGGCATTAAGGGGCTAAAACAAGGACTGGTCGGCTCGGAGTCAGTATACTGTGTCTGAGTGGGGTATTCATGTTAAACTGCGGCATGGTATCTCAGTGAGCTAGCACTATAAATCGGCATCAGTCCGGACTAGTACAAGCAGCCACACACACACATACACGTGCATGCACGTCGCCATATAAGTGCAATAATCTTTGACGCGACATTAAACCCAATTTCACCTCAACAAGCTGGCACTGACAAGTCATAGTCAAAATCTGATGCCTATATATAATCTGAACACAAAGTGCTGACTTGACACCTTTTATTACATATTGTATACATTTAATATCTCCCCCCCCCCCCCCCCCAGTATCTTGGCCACACAATGTAACAAGATATATGACATCATACACAATGTGAGTGAGTGAGTGAGTGAGTGACGGTCTTCACACATTGTACCCATATGAGGAATCAAACCCATGCCATGGGTATCATTAAGCACTGACTTAACCACTAGGCTACCCTACCTGCCAGAGCATAGCATTGCAAAGAGCATATATAATTAAGTCTTAAAAATATAGCATGTTGTCTATTAATGTCAAGTTCAAAACAAAAACGTAAATTTTTTAATGGTCATACCGACAAATATCTATAACACAACATCAAATATACCCAATCTACAAACTACCTCACCTGGATAATCTCATATAACCACAAACTTATGGTTAACATGAACTGAAAAATCCTCCATCTGTATTCCGAAATCACAAACCCCCACTAGGTGCCGATACACACGGTCTACATCTGTCATCAAAAGACGACTGGAAACCCAAATGACTCCGAATAATCAATCTAATCCTATACCTCGTGTCTATTTCCAGGTTCACAATAGGCGATAACAGAGCCTAATGATTGGAACAGCTTTACCACTGTTTGAACAGGCAAGTGCTGACTTGTAAAAAGACAATGCTTCGATCATAGCCAGGCTCCCTGCTTAGACATTCTCAAGACATAAGTCACACACAATAGTCGCGGAGGTATTTCAGATGAAAATTACAGATAAAGCCAAACTGACAGAAATCTGATACAAGATACCGCGTTAACTTGCAGACCAGTTTGTTTATCGTTCTTGGACATTAGGTTAAATACAAGTTAAGGACTTACTAATCTTTATTACGGTGATGATGAAATGGGATTTGCGTGTCTCCCCACCGATATCTTTATTCCTATATTTAGTTATGCAGTCTTTGTGTGCACTCTTTGTGGCTAGAAATGTTCACTGGGTGAATTACTGGTAGGGGATTACGTGGGTGTTACTTCATAATTGGGGATAACGATCGGGGTAAGTAGCGTTAAAGCTTTGTTGGAGTAGGAACAATTACTAGTCCATGTAAGTGGGGTTTCAACCAGGGGGGAATTTACACTTTATTCACTTTGTGACTGTGATTTCGTAAGAAAGAAGATCAATTCAAACATATGAGCAGGTGAGTGATTACTGCTTAACACGGAATCAGCAAAGCTATTTCTGGAAATAGAAACA